TGTGTGTGTGTGTGTGTGTGTGTGTGTGTGTGTGTGTGTGTGTGTGTTGGAATTAAACCCTGTGCTTTGTGCATGGTAGGCAGGTGCTCCACTATACTTCAACCTAAGGCTTACTTTTTAAAAAAGTAATAATCAAAATGTTGCCTAAAACTTGGTGATGGGGCTGGAGAGATAACTCGGTGGTTGAGACCGTCCTGTTCTGAAGAGGACCAGTTGGATTACCAGCACCGCACAGGTGGCTCACAGCTGTCTGTAGTCTAGCTGAGAGGAACCAGTACCTCCGAGCGCTGCAAGCACGCCACGTATGCACGTGATTTAAAATTCTAATCTAAAAATTGATTCTAATTTCTCCATATGAGCTAAGAATTAAAGTCAGTATATTTATATCAGCAAATCTATACACTACTACAGAGTACAAGGCTATAAGATAATTTTACTATCCTATGATTTTAGACTTCTCATCTGAATGAGGGAATTGAAACGTTACTAAATCTGAGATAATCATTTTCTGAGATTTTTCACTAGAATAAAGGAAGTCTTGTTTCCTACTTACTTTTGTTTACCAAATGTGTTTCAAGGTGTTAGCCTTCAGCTCAAAGAAACATATTTTAAAGCTTTGTGGTTTCTTTTATAAGCGTAGGAGAAGACTTAGACTGGATCCTTTAAAGTCAAACGCTAGCTTAAAAGTTCAGTAAGGGAGAAGCTTTATTTTCGTGAAAGCAGAATAGACTCTGAAATAAAAAGGGAAGTGCAGGAGTTCAAAGGGATTTTTCTTTCTTTTTTTTGAAAGTCAAGCAAAGTCTATTCAGAAAGGACACTTTTATTGTGTTTAAAAGAAAAACCCCAGAGCAGGCAGCTGTAAATCTGCACAGCTGCTTAGAGGAAGGGAGTGGAAAGGAGAAGAGAGACGAGGTGTTGTAATTGGGCTGGCATGGAGGTGACCCACGTGATGGACAGGCAGCCACACTGTGATGTGCGGGCTTTAGAGAATGTGAGAACTGACAGTGCGGAAGACTGGCCAGCGTGGAGCAGGGCAAAGAGTGAAGAGAAAGGTTAGGACTTTTCGAGTCTGAATGTGGACAGACCCAGCCCAGGCTTACAGTGGCTCGTAGGGAAGGCCTCAAAGTGTCTTTTAATTAAGGCAATGATATGACTGTAGACAATCAAGAATTTAACATAGTAGGTTTTCAGTGTCTTGCGTTTTTTTCTTCTTTTTAGATCCATTTGGTGGAGATCCTTTCAAAGGTTCAGACCCGTTTGCATCCGATTGCTTCTTTAAGCAGCCTTCTGTTGATCCCTTCACCACTGCCAGCGCTGACCCGTTCAGTGCCTCCGGCAACAGCAGCGCTACGTCGGTGAGTGGCGGGACTAACAACAAATGTCTAAGGAACGTTCTTAAATGTGTAGAGGTGGATCTTCCTTTTGATTATTTTAATGGTCCGTGTGAAGTTTTTCTGGATCCTTCTCACCAAGATTTCTGTCTTAATACAGTATTTCATTGGTCCCATTGGTAGTACTGAAAACGTGACTGGAAATCCCAAAGCCAGTCTTCCGTCAAACCCTTTATAAATACCTGTTGTACATTGAAGAAATGAAAATCACTTAAAGGGAAAGCATTAAAATTTAGAGAAGTAAAATCATTCATGTGTTTATAGTTGTGTCCGGAATGTTAATTTTGAAAAGTGTAAATTGGTGCTTAGTGTCCGGCTCTCTTGAGTATGTATCTGCAAGCTCTGTCTAGTCCCCGCAGAGTATGATCCAAAGCCTTTGTACCTCAGTAGTCATGATCGCTGATCTTCAGCTTCCCTTTACAAGGCAGATGTTGGCAGCCCTGCTTTAATAATACAGACATTTCAGGTTCAAAACATTGACCTTGTCGAATGCAGTGGGAGAAAGCTGTAACGCCAGCGCTGGAGAAGTGCAGGCAAGGGGATTCAAAGCCAGTCTTGTCTATAAAGTAAGTGTGAGGATGTCTTGGGCTACATGGCCTCCTGGCTGGAGAGATGACCTAACAGTTTAAGAGTATGTACTTCTCTTCCAGAAGGATGCAAGTTCAGTTTCCAGCAGCCATGCCAGGCAGTGCCCAGCATCCAGCCCCACAGGGCGCACTGCTTCCAGCTTCTGAGGGTACCAGCACACATACACACATAATTAAAAATAAATCCTTAAAAAATCATGTTACTGGCGCTGGAGAGATGGCTCAGAGGTTAAGAGCACTGGCTGTTCTTCCAGAGGTCCTGAGTTCAATTCCCAGCAACCACATGGTGACTCACAACGATCTCTAATGAGGTCTGGTGCCCTCATCTAGTGTGCAGGTGCACGTGCAGAAGAACATTATATAATAATGATAAATAAATCTTTTTAAAAAGAAGTCCTTTTAAAAAATCATGGTACTTTAATATTTCCTAGGTATTTGTGTTTTAAGGCTCTTAAAAAAATACTTACATAGGGGCTGAGGAGATAGCTCAGCAGGGTTCAGTTTCCAAAACCAATCAGCAGCTCACAACTGTCTTTGACTTCAATTCTAGGGGATCTGACACCCTCTTCTGGCCTCTACAGGCACTAGGCATGCAGGCTTGCATGTTGTTTTTTGCAAAATCTCAAATGTTTGATTTTACCAATAAAGACTCGGGAGCCAGATGCTGGGGTGGAAGCCTGCCAGCTCAGAGAGGCAGAGAAAACACCCAGCTGACTTTCCTCCTCAGCCAACATCCCAAAAGAAAAAGAGGGATGCTCCTTTCCCACTCTGTCTCAAAAAAACAAAACAAAACACCCTCAAACTGAATGACCCTCCCTTCCGCTTCCTGTATCTCTCTGTCCTTCTGACTTGTTCACACCCCTCTTACTCTCTGGGGTTTTTTTTCTTATGTTCACTCCTGTCAATGGGTTGCTTGCTCCTCCTCTTGCCCTAGGGTTAACTTTATTTACAATACAAGCAGAAGGTTTGTGGATAAAGGTATGTGCTAAGGTGAGCCACACCACAACTAGAAACAGGTTTTTCCAGTAAACAACCCAATCTGAGGGTTCACAAGGTGATCAGATATCTTGAAGCAGGTGCGCAGTCAAGACAGACAGACTAGACAGACAGAGACAAACACACATACACAGTAACCCAAACACTCACATACAGAAAATAAAAATAAATTAAAAAAATTATACTCTGCATAAGGTTAAGAATACTCACTGTTCTTCCAAAGGTCCTGAGTTCAATTCCCAGAACCACATGGTGGCTTATAACTATCTATAGTAAGATATGGTGTGCAGGCAGAATATTGTATAAATAATAAATAAATCTTTAAAAAAAAAAACTCAGAATAATACACTGCAATTTTTTGGGTTTGTTTTGGGTTTGGAGACTTTTTGAGGCAGCGGTCTCATTTCTGTAAGTAAGGCATTTCATGCAGCTGCGTTGTCTTCTATCACTCTTAGGTGAAGATTATTTCCTTAAGAGAATAATTGTTTCTTTTTTATATTCTTAAAGTATTTCTTTGCTGTATTCATTAATAAGAGTTACTTGACCAGCAGCTGGCATTTCCCACCGGTGTGAAATGGGAGGGACACCTCTGTAACTGGGTATTTGTGGTCTCCACAAGGGTACCAGATAGTCTTTTTGCTACCACACACCTAGTTTGTAGACCTATATGCAGAGTTCCTCTAAGATATATGGCAGTCTGAGTTCTCCTCTCGGCTCATACTAACATCTCATTCTTCACTGCTCTCAGCCAAACAAACCAAGTCAATTCTTGCTAATTCAGAAATACCACACTTCTCCCGTTCTTCTCCCTGGCTGAGATGTTTCTCTCATTTGTCCTGACTTTTGTCTGTGCTTTCCAGAACAGATAGCACCCTTGCTGTCCTCTCACAATTTCTTTGTTAAATAAAAGGTTGCTGATATAGTCATCACCACGGCTTCCTGGCCTTTTCTGTATTCCCAAGTAGTGCTAACCTCAGTGGCAGAGTGCTTTGTTCGCCTGTGTGCTCTAGGTTCAATCCCAGTTCAACCAAAAAGTGACCTCTGCAGAAGAGGAGGCAAGTGAAGCCTGCAGAGTGTTGGGACCTTCCTGAGAGGTGATTGCTTGAGTGTTCACATAAACATAACTTGTTAAATTATACATATGCCTCTTACTTTCTAGAAAAAATCATTTGCACTCAAAGATAGTAGTTGTTTCATTCATTGAAACTATATTATCAGGAAAGGGAAAACTTTCAAATACTTGTTTTCTAATCTAGAATTTGAAAAGTGTTTTGTTTAGGTTTTGCAGTGACGTTCCAGCTGTGAAATGTTGCCTCTCAGTCATAGATTGTACTGTTTTTTCAGGGAGAAACTTGGAAGCACAATGACCCATTTGCTCCTGGTGGGACAGTTGTCGTCGCAGCTAGTGATTCAGGTAAAGGCATTTGTCAGTTTTATTAGTGTTAATTACTGCCTTTTCTTCAAGATTTTCTTACGAACGTTTTTGCTTTATTAATTATGACTTTTTCATTCACGTATTATTTCCACTTTTATAATACACTAAAAATAGAAACAAATATTTGTGTATCGCTTTTTACTTTCTTTACTTGTCTCATTTAGCATTCACCTTAAAGGTTTTTCTAGACTATACACTATGTCAGTGTCTTAAAACCAGTAAGAAGCCTTTGTTCAGTGTAGTGTTGGTCTAGAAAAATGGCTCAGCCCCTAAGAGCACTGCTGCTGTGCAAGCATGAGGACCTGAGTTTGAATCCCTAACTCAATGTAAAAAGTTTGACATGGCTGCACCTGCCTCTAACCTCACCACCGGGGGGAGCAGAGACGGTGCGTCCTGAGCGGTCACTTGTGCCCTGGCAGCCAGCCTGTTCGGCGTCAGCGAGAGACCTTGTTGTAAGGCAGTAAGGAGGGAAACAACAAAGGCGAACATCCGGTGTTCTGCCTTGTCCTTGACTGTTACATGCTTGCACCACACACATGTGCCACATTCACACACAGCTACACACAAGTACAAGAAAGGAAAAAATGATTAAAGATTAGCTGGGTGAGGCTGGAGAGATGGCTCAGAGGATAAGAACACTGGCTGCTTTTCCAGAGGTCCTGAGTTCAGTTCCCAGCACCCACATGGTGGCTCATGAGCATCTATAATGAGTTCTGGTGTGCAGGCACACATGCAGGCAGAATGTTGCATAAATAATAAATAAATAAATCTTTTAAAAAAAATTAGCCAGGTGAAGCCAGGTGCTGTGGCTCACACCTGTAATTCTAACCCTCAGGGGAGCAGAAGCAGACAGATCTGTATGAGTTTGAGGCCAGCCTGCTCTACAAAGTGAGTCCAGGACAGCCAAGCTACACAGATAAATCCTGTCTCAAAACCAACCAACCAAATAGACAAACATTAGCTGAGGGTGATGATAACACTTTAGTCCTAGTTCTTAGGAGGGTAAGGTAGACTTGCTTTACCGTCATGGCCAGCCTGGGCTCTATAATATGAACTGCACAGTAAATTCCAGGCCAGCCTGGACTACAAAAGAAGAACCTGTTCAAAATGAAGAGGTTCCTGGAGAGGTGGCAAAGCAGTTCAGAGCACTGGCTGCTGTTGCAGAGGACCCAGATTCAGGGCCAGCACCCACATGGTGGCTCACAGCCATCCTTACCACCAGGTCCAGGAGATCAGATGCCCTCTTCTGGCCTTCAAGGAAACCAGGTGCACACACGACACACATGCAGGCAAACATTGGTACATAAAATAAATCTTAAAAGAAGCCTGCATCAGTATTCTCTAGTGTGTTTCACTTTCTTGTGAGCGCCTCTTTCTCTTAACCCCTGCGGCCAGCCCTATAAAGTGTTGTTTGGCATTTACTCCTAAAGATCTTTGCCTGAGTTTAAAAGTGGGTGGCTTCAAAAGAGTAATGAAAATTGTTTTTAATATAAAGAGGTTCTTTTAAGATACGGAGAAAATCTAAACACCAGGAAACTAAGCACCAGAATGTCAGCTAACTTGATCAAGGTTTTACAGTTTATAAGGTGGTGGGCCAGTTACTAGATTCAGTGATAGGTCTGATGGAATCTTAAACATTTGCAACTGATTAATTGTTTCATTTCCACTCTTCTTAAGAATAAGGTGAGCAGGCTAGCTATTGCTTGGGAACACAGGAAAATGAAGGAACATAAATACAGACATGAGTGCTTTGATGTCATGTGGCTAGTGGGACGTGCTGTTTCCTAGAGTGTGGATGTGACAGGGACGTAAGGTATGACAGATGAGTACAGATGCCTTAACATAATGAGCAGATTGTTAGAGGGTCAGCATGACTGAATTTGGGGGGATTGAGTGTTAACTCCAAATTGAGCGGCTGGAGTGAGTAGTAAAGCAGATTGAAACAAACGGGTGCTGGGTGTTGATCACAGTTAGAATTGTGGGCTTTCAAAGTCAGTCATTAAGATGAGTAAATTTATATTTATTACATACATATTTATATTATTTAGACAAATCACTGCACTCTTACCACTAAAATACAGTCGTTATGATAGTAATAAAAGTACATAAAGTGCTTGAGTTCTTTTTAGCGCTTGTGCACATCTGGTGGATAGACACTACAAACTGAAAGAAAATTAGTTAGGAGAAGCCAGCTCAGGATCTGTTTCTATATGTTCTGTTCTTTCTTGTAAGCATTATTTTCCTACTTTAGATGAGGTGTGTGTGTGTGTGTGTGTGTGTGTGTGTGTGTGTGTGTGTGTGTG